GACCAGAGGTATTAAACGCTTTCACTGGCTGGGAAATCTACTGATGTGCAAGTGGTCATAATAGTTGTAATGGTAATGGGGGCCAATGCAATTTACTCCCAAAGACTGCTGTGGATTTACTGCAAAACTATCTGATGTCTTATCACTGTAAAAGACCTACAAGTTGACTAATGTGCAATTCATAAGCTCTATTCTCACCGGTCCAATTTTTGCCATTCTCTTTGGAAACATCTGCGCCGTGTCTGAGCAGCACTCTCACCGACTCCAAGTGTCCTAGTGAAACGGCCAGGTGCAGAGGGGTCCGGCCCCTGGGATCCACCTCTTCAATGTTACTCTGAAAGGAGTGTAAACACAGATGGCTCATAACTTAGTGAGGAAAATGAGAAGGGCCGAAACTCATAAGCACTGCTGTTGAAAATGAAAATGAAAATGTGGAATGCAACTGTCATTAACCCAAACAATGGGTACTCTTCCTGTGGAATGGTCTGTCATATATAGTAGCGGTATTCAATCTTTCAGATACCATGGACATTCAAAGGTGAGAGACCCCATCCTAAAACTTAAAAGTCAGCTATATACTTACATGAATAAAAACACTGTTTAATTTGGAAAAATTATGGAATTGTTAAATAAATGTTACAAATATGTGTAAAATATTATTTGGAAAAATCTAGTTTCTATTATGTTACATTATTATCTTTTTTTATATTCACCAGAGTACTGCACTGCTAGATGTATTATTTATTTATTTGAATACACATTTATTTATTTAGTTCACTCTCAGTATTTTTAGGCTACTATTAGTATACTCTTACTATTGATTTATTTTTACACGTTTTTTCCCTCCAGGTTTTTCCACGAACCCCAGTTTGAAAAACCGTGATCTACAGCAAAATGAAGATTTATTGATGTTAGGATGAGCTCACCAGCTCTCCAGTGCAATGACATACAGCAGTGCTGTAGCTAACAAGTGGATGGCAAGCTGATGAAGCATTTGCAGTAAGATCCAATAATGCACCAATTCCAATTTCATTAGATTATTAAATATATGACAAGCATGTCATGAAATCCACTGGAGGCAGAAATCTCACAGCAGTCAATTGATTCTACCGTTAGCTGCACCACCAGTCCACATACATCAGCATTTACGGATATCCCACACATACCGTCTGTATCTCTTTTTCCAGCTTCCTGTAATCATTCTCCCAGACCAGGGTATGCAGTGGAAACCTAAGGCTGAAATCCTCGACGCTGGCAGCGGTGGCGGATAACATTCTGGCTCGATCAAACTCTCCGTGTCTCCCCCTCCAAAATTAAGAGCCAGCCTGCGAGCTAGCTACGTTACTGTCATGAACCATCAAAGCTCTTCATGCGTTTAATTAATTGTTGATAATTATACAATGACTCTGACTATTAAACAGGTGGATTTTAGTAAAGGAGACGCCGAAACCGCAACCAACTTTTTTCAAAATAAACTTTTGAAAAACAAGGAAGTGGCAGGTTGAAACTATTTGGGTGGGGGTGTATCCAGTCATTTGACAAATCTTTCCTCTAAACCCTTTTGCATTTAATTATATTTGTAAATAATATCCTCTATATAAAATGTTCGATAAGAGACTAATTAGCTATATATGACCTATCAAGAAAAATGGTAAAGGAAAAATAATTATGTTTTTTTTTTTTTAAATGGGAAAGCCCAACTCCAGACTAAACCATTTCATATGAAGTAGGGGCGGTCGTACCATAAAGTATGGTTATGTTAAGTCAAAGAGTGAATTTTGCGTATTCGTAAATAGAAGCTATTTTTGAAAATTATGCATGAAACGAAAATGTTCTCGTAAGTAATCGTAAGTAATCGTAATAAATAACAGCATTTTAGTCATCGTAACGTGCCCAAACATGCTGAACGCTGGCGGCTCGGTAGGTTTTGAGATAGAGCCATTGCATAGAGTGTTGACTCAACTCTACGGGTGTTTTCAGCGTCAAATGATGCTGTGAAGATCTATGATCAATCACACTATATGTTACCTTATCTTATTTTCTCTGGAGAAATAGGTAAGTGTACTTATTGATCCTCAAGTGGTATTCCTGTGATGGGGAAGAGAGGAAGGGAGACTGAGGGTGAGGGGGAATGATGCTTGTGCCAGGTGCTTGATTCTGGTCCTTGGCCTCTTTGCAGCTGTTGTTTGATACTTCCTGTGCTTGAAGGGAAGTGACTTTTGCTTCTAGGCTGCTCTCTGCTTATCAGTGGATCAGTTTTGAATTTAGATGGCTCATGTTTCTGTCAGACTGATGCAATTGGTCGTTAACTTCTTAAGTGTGGGGATCTTCAATAGCCTGCCAACCTGGCACAGATTTAGTCTAGATTTATCCCTCTAGCTTTCCTCACTTAAGTTAGGGAATAGGGATCATATTTGTAATCCTCTGAGGTCAAAATAGACTGAAGAAAAGAAATGTAACATTGTGTGTGTGTGTG